AAGAGTAAAGTCCAAAGCCTGGAGGAACTATAGCTGCCCTTACATTTAAAATAATAACATGTAATAACCTGTAGTTTAAATGTAATGATGATCATGGAAACAGTCAAGGAGCCATTCATCACATTTCACGTAGCAGCTCGCATCTGCTCTGACTTCACCTCACATTCTGCAGATTTAAACACAGTGTTATAATATAGAATAGAACACAAAACATCAGTGTTAGCTAACTGAAATATGTGGGCATGTGTACCACTGACTTTTCAGATTTCTTAAAGCCGATGTAAGTGGTCAGAGGTCAGACCCAGCTCTTTGTCCAAATATGGGTTCCTCACCAAGCGAAGTCCCGATGCATCTCTGCTTTGTTTCCTGGGCCACTAAATGAACTGCTAGGTAGATAGGTAACCACCTTACTGAAATAACATATTCCCATTTCTCAAAAGAAAGAACATTGATACCCATTGAACAAATATTCCATAGATTCTGCAATCACTCATCACCAGATAATCTGTGATGGCTTTTAGTCCACATAATACTATTACTATTAGCCCTTGTGCACTGTGTTAACAGGGCTGGAAATGTCAGAGTAATCAAAACCCAGTCAGTCTAACTGTTAAAACGTGTAACCTACATTGTGCAGAAGACCTTTAAACATACAAGGGATATTCAACATCTTGTCCTATATTCTCAATGAATGTTTTAACCTGTGACTTAACTTGTAAAAATAAGTAATTGCAACGTGCAAACCAGGGTGGTTTTCCTGAGAGGTGACTGTAGCAAGCAATTCTGTTTTAAGTGCTCTTGATTCGAAATTCTCAAGTCTCATTGTGATGTATGCCATTAATGCTGACTTTGTCTTTTCTGATATGTCTGCAGCACTGCTTTCATTTGAGCAGTGATGTGGCTGACGGTGATGTCTACCTCTACAACAAACCTGGAGGCCAGGGGACAGGAGGCAAAGGTAATGATAGTCAACATGCCTTCACACACACACACACACACACACACAGACAGAGAGATTATTCATCGCAAATCATATCTTCATCGCGATATTAAACAACGATATTGCATATCGCATGTTTTCCTAATATCTTGCAGCCCTACTCTGAATAATTTTAGCGTGCACCATCTCCGGCTTTTGTGCGCCCCTACACTTTTAGTATGAATCCTACGCACTTTTTTATAAATAAGGCCCCTGGACATGTTGAAGTTTTCTCCACGGTCCTCTTTGTTAAAGCTTAATTAGATACACAGCAGTATGTTAATGGTTACTGTTTTGTTGTTAATTACCACTAGTAGAAACAGGGCTACTATATGAAACTATTAAAAGAAACAAAATAATGAATGAGATGGAGCTCATATAATATAATATTATTATATCACCTGGATACTAGTCTTTGTTTGAATGCATAAACCCTTCCCAGACTGATACTTTTTCTTCATCGACTTCACATAGACATTGGTTAAGAATTATATGTTTAGTGTGCGCAAATAATTTACTATAACAGATGGAAACATTCAACTTGACGCTAGAAGGTTTATAGTTGGAATTTGTACAACAGTTAGTTGTAGTTATTTTGTGGGTGGAACCTGTCAGTATGGAATAGCCTTCAGCTCTTTTCAGTACTTAATTGGATCCTTCAGTAAATCCTCCTTTTTCACCTTGTTTTTGTATGAACATAAATTGGTCTCTTAAGTACTGGGGTAGCAGCAACCAATTTTCTAACAATTTCTCACATCTTCTGCCCAAAGTCTTTAAGGACTTTCCACAAGGATATGGAGTTGCAAGCCACTGAGAAAACGTAGCCTCCATACTGCTGAAATTAGACTCGAAATGGCATAATTTACACCATGTTCTAACCTCTTTATATACAGTCTATGGTTCTAACCCTAAAAGTTTGCTAACGGAAGTAACGATGCTAATGCCAACCCCGTCTGTACCCTTGGACAAGAGCTTGTGTGCAGACATTAAGGCCACTATGAATTTTCATTTTTCGGTGAACTATCCCTTTAATCGGACACAAGCGCATGGGCAGTGGAGCACACTGGGAAACTGAGGCTCAAAGACAGGGTCATGGCAGCTCCTTTAAAAGCTTCACCCCCCATATAGATACACAAGGATTGCAAAAGTTGGAATGAACCCCCACAAACAATAACATTATTTGTAGACAAAATACACACTCTCAGACAGTGATGTACTGTTACCGCTGCACCACTTATGTTAGTGACTGGCTGTTGCATGTTTGGAGGATATAAAGTACCCTTGTGCATCCTGTAGCACAGTCTGGTGGTCACTCCACCATTGAAACATTGTTCAACATGTGAAATAAACTGAAAAATAAATAGCCTAGATATTTAAGCAATATGACACCAACCAACCTATCCTGCCAGCTGCTCTGTCACTAAAACATATATACATACAGTTGTTGCAATTGTTGCACTTGTTGCTTTTCACATACTAAAAGATATCTACAGCAAGGTTTCATCTCATGTTTTGCTAAAATTTGCACTTCATTAGAAAAAAATATCCCAGCTTTAATAGTTCAGCATATTTCTAATACAGACCTTTTCAAAGACCAATGATAAAAATTAACATTAATCTTAATCAAGGTAAAAGTTTGAAATAATCATGATATTGATTTGCAGTCATATCGCCCAGCCCTATAATAAATAGCCATCCACTTACCAGTAGGTTGGCAGTTAGATCCCAATCCCTGTGAAAGTGTCCTTGGGCAGTGAATGTGATGTGAATTGTGTTAAGGAAATATTGCCTGATCAAAATTGAATGAGAATCCCCTTTTCACTGTCATCATTAGGCTCTACTGTATTCATCTTAAATCTGTGCTGGTGTGAAAATAAATTATTAAAACAAAATATTAATTACATTTACGAGTTTTACTACAGGATGTTTAACTTTGTGTTATATACATTGCTTCATTTTCAAGGATCTTGTGTAATTGTAAATGTAAGTCAATCATTTGTGACTGTGGATAAACATTTTTAAACCTAACCTAACGTGAATTTCAGTTTTTACAGCTTTATAGAAGTTTGTTGGTCCTTTTAACACATTCTCCTGCACTCTCAGGTATTGCCTGCATTGCCCTCTCATTTGTGGATGCCCATGGTCGTCCCTTTCATGGTTCAACTCAGGACTGTGCTACATTACAGAGATCAGAAAACTGCATCATCCCTCCTCACATAGACCATTTTGATGAGCTGACCAGTGTGGCTAAAGTGGACTCCATCCCTGTCAGCTCAGGTACAAGTCAACACAACACTGAACAGCTGTAGCCAACAACTTGGCTTGCATTGCGATGTGAGTGGTGTTCGTTTTGGAGGGGTGGTTGGGGTTAAATAGAATTAAAAGGTTTAGGTCAAATGAGGAGTTCATCAAACATTGGAAGTCCCGATGCAACGAGCTGGTGTGTGAAATGTACACAAAACGCTAAATATTTCAAAAAGGCTAGCCAAGTCACCTTTCTGGAATAAAACAACTTCCAACATTATTCATCATGCATCAATATTAACTATTGTTAGATATTTACAGTTCTGATGAAAACATTCCCACTGAGACAATGTCACATGACCACATGACAAGCTTACAGGTAACAATATAAGTGACATGTCAAAAAAGTCAAGGACCTGGAATAACTTCTATACTTGTGAAAGTGATCCCAAAAAGTAAATCACTAGACATTCCAAAGTAAACTTCAATCACACATACACAAAAATAGGCAAAATAACATCTTAGTGGTCATCTAAATAGCTCCTCCTTTCTTCCTGATTAATCGTGGTTACTGCCATAACTCTACAAATTTGTGCAAAACAGCCAATGGCATAAAATATATTAAAAAAACATCACTTCCCTTAAGTTTAACTCTTTTAGTCATTGATCAAAGGAGTCCTCCCATAGTATAGTATATATGGTATGTATATTTAAACCTTCAAAATTATGGAAAGCAGAGGGAGAGAGTTAGTTAGATGATCTTTAAATCTTAGATGCTGTGGCCAAATGACACAAGCATATTACATTGACAGAGTATAGGTAAAGATGCATGCATGCACACACATACATTTTTGCTCCTTGAGGCATAAAGATTCAATATGACACTGCATCACAGGGCCAAACATTAAAATACAGTCTTGGTTTTCAGGGTTTATGAAAGTAATTTAAATTGGCTAAAGCAGTCACTCAATGTCCAGCTACCTAGTGCACTTATTGTAAGCATATATATGATTTTTCATCATTCCTCTTAAGATGTTTTTATTCAGTAGCCCATACAAGTAAAGTAGGAGAGGTCTGTGTGAGTGACTGAGCCAGTGCAGACAGAGAAGGATTGTAAATATCCTTATTGTGTGCAATACCACTTCTGTTTTTAAAGCTTAATATATCATCAGGTTAATCATAATCTTGGAAAAAGGTACATCATCATTAGTAGCCTCTATCTCAAAGTTTTGTTCATACTGCTGACCCAATATTAAAACCAAATTTTCCAGAGTAAGCGCTCTCAGTGTGCTAACCCTGACACCCAACTTCTAAGCCTATGTATATTACTTACATGTCAACTATTTTAAAACAATGACATTTCTAGATGCAATGAACCCCTTTGGGAACAAAAACAATATTATGTTTTGAGTCAGCATTTGAGTTAGATGTTCCTCTTTAATAATTTCTCTCTCGTTTTCTTATACTTATATTGAAATCAAGCACTGTTGTGTGTGATTATCTCCTAACAGAGCCACAGCTGTATGTGCGCTTTGACATTTGGGAACAAGGCAATGTCAGTCCTTTACAGCTAAGTGACAAATTGCAGGCGGCACTGCGCCACGCTCTCTGTGATGTCATCATGGAGTTGAGAATCCTGCCACATCCTCTGTGTGTGGATGTGCTGTGCCCAGCCACCAAAGCCCAGAAAGAAGAGGCTAAAGGTGAGGTGATCACCAAATGTTTTATGTTTTCTCTGTGCTGTATGTGATGTGTATTATACCTGTGTGCACTCAAATTGCAAGAGATTGACACTATAGCAGCAAATAATCCAATAAAAGCATGTAATCCAGTTAATGTTGTAACATTTTTAGCATGTTTGCAGGGTACACAACTTAAATCAAGAGATCTGATGATTGTTGTGTACTATCTTCGCCTTAGGAAGCTGAATATTTATGCTAACTTCTTATTTGGTTGGCTCCACTAAAAAGGAATACGATTTAGGAAAATCAACCTTGTTATTTATTTGTTGCTCAGTCTGTTAAGCGGTTTTGGTCATTTCTATCTAATATCTGTCTTCAGGACTGTTGATTTCTTTACCTGAGGTAAAAGAAGTAAAGGACAGCCCCAGGCAGCGCAGTGGATCACGGGTCTTTAAAACCAGCCCCTCTCCCATCACCTTAACCCAAGCCTTAGGGAGCACACCCATGACAGGGACCAGCACACCTGAGTCTACCACCCCTACTGGCAAGAGCACCCGTCGGAGTTTCTGGGATATACTGGTCAGTCCCTCTGTTGTTTCAGGCTTGAATTATGGAACTATGCTCCTCGTGTAAAGTCAGTCAACAACTAGATAAGTATTGTAAATAAGTTGTTAATAACAACAAGGGTTATTATCCAAAGGTTAAATAAACCAAGGGTTAAATAAACCGAGGGTTAAATAAATATTTAGTTTATTTGCTCTGAATGTCTAAACTGAGACCACCTGATATTATTCGCAATGATTACTATACATTTCTTATAGGCTGTCCATAATGAATAATTTAATAGAAATTCACTAAAATTAGACCAACTGTTAGACCAACTGTTTTCAGTTATGTTTAAGAAGTCAGTGGTCTACTACAAAGCAAGTTTGACCTATGCTGATTTACCTTGGCTTACTAAGGAGGTTCAAATAATTTGTGTTAAAAGGTATTACTAAGGTGGCTAAAGGGATAGTTCACTCATAAATGAAAATTCACACATTATCTACTTACCACTATGCCGATGGAGGGGGTGGGTGAATTGTTTGAGTCCACAAAACTTTTTGGGCGTTTCAGGGGGAAACAGTGTTGCAGCCAAATCCAATACAAATGAAGTAAATGGTGATCCCGTCTTCAAAGATAAAAGCCTAAATGTCCGCTGTTCCGGAGCCATGTTCACGTTCGTGGGCACACACCACACAAGCTCTCGCCCAAGGGGCACCAGACCTCACCATAGCTGATAGGTGTATTGCAAGTTCTGGAGCATTTAAACACTGTTTATACTTTTTGGGCGAACTATCCCTTAAAAATGTTGCTCTGTTGATTTGTTGTTAACTTAATGGGAATATGTGTATGTGCGTTGTCCACGTGCATACAGTTTAATGTTTTGTAATGTGGCGCTATACCAATGTCGTTTATTTTGTCACACATAGATGAATCTTAATTTGTAATATGGTTGACATGTAAATTGTAAGTGCTTAAAATATATGAAAACAGTTAAAAAACTATAATTTACACATGCAAACCATTTCTGAAATTTTCATATTATTCACTAAAAATCTATAGCTTTCATAGAGAACATCATTGGGGGAGACCATAGGATTCTCATCATTTATAAACACACTTTCCTGCATTGTGAGCCTCTGACATTCTTCCCATTTCGACTGGGTTTTAAAATTGTTTGCACAGGGTTGTGCTTCGTAGATTCCAAGCATAACTTTGATTTGTCAATCAATCAATCAAATTTTATTTGTGTAGCCCATATTCACATATCACAATTTGTCTCATAGGACTTAACAAGGTGTGACATCCTCTGCCCTTAACAAGAGTAAGGAAAAACTAAAAAAACACCAACCTATTAACAGCGGAAAAAGAGCAATGTGTGAGGGATCCTTCTCCCAGGATGCAATAGATGCGATGTGTAATGGAGTCAGAAAAATAAGAAATGTGTAAGAGTAGAAGTATGCAGTTGCATAAAGTGGAAATATATCATTAATAAGTACAATTGCATAAAAAAATATTTTTACAGTATTTTTGACATTGTGTATGAGACTCAGTGGTAAAATGACTGGAGCGAAACACAGACATGATCCGACACCATCAATTAAAAACCCAACACATGATCGTAAGTTTGTTTCTAAATCATCCCAATAAAAAAAAACTTTGAACTCGTTCTCTTTTGAGTTTGAACTGACACACCACTGCAAGTCAGTAGTAGAACTGGATCATCACACTCAGTGGAGTGGAGGTAGTCGGTGGAGGTCAATGAGCAGCATGTGACATGTGTCTCTCTGGAGCTTTGTCGCTTGTTCCTACTAGACACAGAGCAAAATGTATTACTTTCTATCCTTGTAGAGTAAGCCAGACTCATTGGAGCTTGGGAGCCCAAAGACTACTGATGACATAGTACAAGAAAAAGGAGAAGAAGGCAGAGCCGCTCGACGTAGACACAAGACGGAGACCTTAAAGCAGCAGTGGAGCCAGGAGAAGGCTATGGAGCAGGAGCATGCCCACAGGTGGTGTATATCTGCATCAGTAACACTGTATCAATGTCTGTGAAGATTCTCAGTCATCTGGGTCATGGTTGTCCAAGAATCAAGAGCAGATGGACCAGACACATCTGTAAACTCTGATGGCAAAAACAACATAATTTGGTCTTTGTGAACTGAAATCACCTTCATGTTTATTTGCAAATTGAACAGGGAGGTGAGATTTT